ATTAATTCATTTATCAATTCTAGGATTCCTTATGGATAAAGTTGATGTCATAGGATTCATGTGCATTTTGTATTCTCCATTTTGTCTATTTTACCAACTTTCTAAACATAATTTGCAAATTGGTCCAAAAGGTTTCACATGAAATGACAAGGGTTGGGGACATAAGTCTCAATTTGATGATACGGTTGCAAAGTAGGGTCAAGATCATTGAATATTGATTAATTTATATTATTTTTATTTCAAAATTCATGAAACAATCTTATGCAAGATCAAGATCCATAATTCGAAAATTAGCAGTTATGTCCACAAAGCCCAGTCTAATCGGGCCTCTGGTCTGAAGAGAGCTCAATCATATTTTTAAACTTTTATTGTTTCAATTTTCGAACTAATTATGTATTACCACCAAAGGGCTTCTAGCCTAGCGGTATCGGGTGTTGCCCTCCTCCTAGAGGTTAAGGGTTCAAGTCTCATTGGAGACATAGGTGGTATTAGGAGTAGTGTAGATTTACCGTTCTAAAAAAAAAAAAATTATGTATTACCAACAAATTCATATAATAATTTAGGGCAAACTCTTAAAATCATTGTATTTTTATTTATTTATTTTTTAGTTTAATCAGTATAACTAATTTTTGGTAATGAATTGCAAAAAAAAAACTTTTTTGGTTAAAATGGTTTCTACAAAATAAATTGTTTAATCATATTTTTTTCCCGATGGTTAAATCGAGCAAAGTTTAAACTATAACGGTTTTTATAGACTTCAAATTTTATAGTGATTTTTTTGAAAAACAAAATGAACTAAAAAAAATCTAAATATAAACGTACAAGTAATTAATAATTAACTATAACACCATTACTATTTTTTTTTCTTAAAAAACATACATGATTTTGGAAATCACATATGTTTGTTTTTTTAACTGAAAATCAAGCTTATACACATAATTTTTTTAACTGAAATCAAACGCCACTTATGCTAATCCACGTATGCTGATTCAATATCGTATCTTATTAGCATAGTATATTCTACAAAGTTCACATTTGTACCCTGCATTTGCTGGGCTGATCCAAATTTATTTAATAACTGTATTAAGATATCCCTATCTATATATCCCAAAAAAATGTTAAAACCTACATAATTACATGCTAAAAGCAAGTGTTCAACGAAAACAAGAATTGCAGAAGAAACCAACTACTATTGATGTACTCGATTTTTTAATGCTCGTAAATATAATAAAAGCTAGTTAGATTTATAAAAATGAAGGATAACCCTAATTTGAGAGTATATTAAAAACAAGGAAATTGCTAAAGCCGCCACATGAGTGGATAAAACCTGTTGGTGATGTTGTAATGATATATGGTTCTGGATTTGTCGGTGGTGGTGGTGGTGGGATGTTTAGATGCCTATAATTATTTTGTTAAGAGAATAGTTTGTATGGGTAGATTCAGTGAAAGGAATAATCTATGAAAAGAGCTATTTCAAAGAAGTTTTTTTTTTTTTTTTTTTTTTTTTGACGATTATATGCATGCTATGGAAATTCATAAACTCTTTTGTGTTTGGGTCTTTTAAAGCTGCTAAAAGGATACTTTGTTTGATAGACGTAAAATTGCCATTTACATTTAAAGGGTCGTGTAAATGCACAGATCCAGACAATAACGTGTAGACAAGTCTTTAACATCAACATACTTTGCCAAACTTAGATTCAAACACCTTCAGACTCCTTTTACTGACTTAATTAAAGTGATTATAATTTATCCAAAACTTCATTCAAACATAAAATAACATTCTAATCAACATTATTAACTCAATTCAATCATTAGTCAAAGAGATCATCAATCAGTTCTCAAATTAATGCTTCAACACTTAATTTAAAACTTCAAAAGTCAACTGATAAACACTAGACTTGTTCTCATCCATCATTTGAACTTAAAATGATATAATCTAATTATTATGATACATAATAAAACACTAATTACACGATCAATTATGAATTTATTTAGATCAATGGGTGATTTAACAAAATTATGGCTCAAAACTTTATTAAAGCATCATAGACTCACATTTGACCCAAATGATAGATTCAACTCTATAATTGGAATAAGAAAGTCTATATCCAAATAACATCATAATACTTGATACATGATGAAAATTAGATTTCAATGAATCATTAGGTCAAATATAGCAATTAAGAAAATTAGATAACTATCTCAAAGGCTTGAACTCTAGACGATCATGCTACAACTGATTTGAACAACCAATTTCTTCAGCAATCTAAATTTCTATTCAAGCACAAAGATCTCCCACTTCTACTCAAGTTGAAATCATACAAATGATTGTGGGAAAAGGGTTTAATACATCAAATCTTTCCACTATTGGCAAGAACAATCTTTTAATTCTTATTTTTGCAAAAATACCCAAGTTGAGATTTTTCTAACATTTTTAGTCCTTAACTTCATAGTTTGACCTAAACTCGATTTACATTCTTACAAATAAGGTTGAAAACTAGTTATACATGTTAAGGCAAGTCACCTATTTCAGCTTGATTCATGTCAATTCTCATATTCAAAAACACTTAAACTTAAATTCTAACCTTTTAGACTAACATTTTAACTAATTACAATAGTTTAAACTAAAAATTAATTTATTTGATGAAATTTACAATTAAAGGTTAAAAGTTCTAACTCCAAATTACGAAAATGGATCTTGAAAACCTCTAAACTATTATATAAACAACAATTGAAGAAATAATGAAACAAAACAATATATTTTTTGAACTATATTAAGGTCGATTTTTTATAGGTTTCTAAACCGGTTTCACCCAAACCAAAAACCATGGTCATAATCCTTCCAACCGGGTTCACAACCCAATAAACATGGTCATAATCCTACCTCGCTAATGTTGGCAATTAGCAGAGCTATATGAGCCAATGAGTTGTTAGGACTAGGGGTGTGCAAAAAACCGCACAAACCGTCCGCACCGCACCAAACCGCACCGCATAATGCGGTTTAGAATTTCGTGATGCGGTTTGAGGTTTGTCATTTTATCAAACCGCACTATGCGGTGTGGTTTGCGGTTTATATTTATAAAATCGCGGTTCAAACCGCACCGCACCGCATGTTATATATATATATATATATTTTTTTTTTACTTTGTTATAACTTCAAATCACGATTTAGAAAAGATGTATTTAAATATATTTCTTACAATAATCAAATATCTATAATGTAACATTAAATCACTATTAGATCAAGATCTCACAGTTTACAAAAATATAGCAACGGCAATATAAAGCAATAACAGTGACACCTACAAAACTATAGTAGCATGAATCACAATTTATTAAAAACGATTTAACTTGAAAATTATATTTGTTTTTATAAAATAAAAGCAATCAATTTTTTTAACCGGGTCAGTTTTTTGCTTTTTTGATAGATTTAATGTTGAACAACACATCAAACCGCACAAACCGCAACCAAACCGCATAAACCGCCAGCATCAAACCGCACCGTATAACGCGGTTTTAAACATCATGTGGTGCGGTTTGCGGTTTCTAAAATATTCAAACCGCATATCCGGTGCGGTTTGCGGTTTTGACTCTAAACCGCACCGCGCACACCCTAGTTAGGACCTCAAAGGCATATATACCAATATAAACTTTTTGAGGAATAACTTGAATTTGAAGGTGTTGATAAATCAATGAACCTCGATATAAAATGGATGAAATTGTCATGGAAGAATATGGAGAATACACGGACCATCCCATGTGAACAATACTTTTCAGATTTATTATGGTCATAATAACTAAAACACAAAATGAATCAATAATTTATACGCAATGACTACTAATAATTTACAATCATAACCTAAAATTATTTACTTTATAATTTTTTTTTTGCATCGAGTAAAGTTCATCCGTAATATATAGATGACAACAATCAATCATTTTCTTATTAGATCAAAAGCTTGCAACTCTTACATCAAAAGTTTGGGGTTTGAGATGACATTTCTAGCATTAGAAACAAACATTCACGCCAGCTTTTCTCAATTTCAATATATGTTGACATCATTCTAAGTCCAATACAAGCCAAACATAAAATGCAGTACAACTTATTAACATATTTCTAAGATAAATCTAATGATTTACTAAATTCAAGTCCGTTTTTCCAGAGGTGTTAAAAGCATAATAGAAAAAAACTGAAACTGAAAGTTGGATGCTATAATACGTGATAAAGAAAAGTAGAATACTAAACAAGAAACACCTAGGGCTACTCAGCTTCCTCCTCTTCTTTAAATTCTTTATGTTGCTACCTTTTGCATTTATTTCTCCCCAATTAATGGACAAGTTATGTCTTTAGTTGCATTTGATCTTTTGAATAATTTCCCTAAAGAATGTATTTACAATCTTTCAAGATTGTATGGAAAAGTCTTTTCTTTGAGAGAACTAGATTGACAGTGTCTTTTGATGACTTGTAAGAGTTTAATAGTATCTCAAACTTTCAACATCACAAGAATACAAATTTGCTCATGGCTTCCTAAAATATTATGGAAAAGAACTTCCATTAATCTTAATGCTAGGAAACTGTGTGAAAACAAAAGCGTGTATTTCTCACTGAAACAAATCCAAAGTCCAAACAATAGCGCTTACACACAATAACCAGAAGAAATTCAAAAAAATGCAGGTCTAGATAATTTCAATACAGCAACACATGAACCAAAATCATTTCATGAAAATGAAAAAAATCACCGTTCTTACGGGTTAATTTAACTTGCAGGAAATTTGAAGAAACATTATCGTATCAAAGGTAAATCAAGACGTAAATCTCGAAGATCATATCAGGAACTTTAAACATTATTATTGGAACATTAAGGCATCGAACAAAAGCATATATAATCACATCACAACTTGAGAATTTTCACATTTAGTCAGCAGAACTGGACTCAATCCCCAACATCGGAACAAGCAAAATTATAGAAAATATTACCAGACGACTGAGGATTGAACAATCAATCGGATTCGTCAGATGTGGACACCGCAACTATCTGTTTCTGAGATGCAAGCCGTTCTATAGCTTTCTGGCGAGCCCAGGTCTCTAGGGTTAGATCGGGCTTGGCGTTGAGTCCGACCCCGAGGATGACAATTGTTAGGAAGCTGGTGACGTAACAAGGTAGCTCCCAATCTTCCCATTTCCTCGACTGGCCGGGTGGAAGAGGGGTTCGGTTTAGAAAGTAGCCATTAGGTCGCTCCTGGTGGCCAGGGGTAGTCCATCGGCTAGTCGTATCACCGCCTCGTTGGCGGAGGGCGGAGGTCAACCGTGATCGTAGCATGCCTGCGGCGGCGGAGAAGGGTTTCGCAGATGGCATCTCGATGATGATCTTACTGAAAAGACCGACTGTTGAGAACTCCGAATCTGTTTTATTGATTGGATCCCATTTTCCACGCCCTATACGACGTCGCTTCAATCTTGGTTTATCTCCCTTTTGTATTCTTTCCGAGAATATCATTTACACCCCCTCAAAAATTTGTTTTCTGACAATAACATAAGAAAATCAAAGTTCTTTAATTTGGATCGGTCTAAAGATATTTTTTGAGTCTAAATGACATGCCAAAACCAATATATTAAATTTTATATGAAACTATTACATTGTTCATCACAAAAAAAAAAACATATTTTTATTAAATAAGGAACAATTTTATAACATTTTACTGTTTAAATGAACTTGAATGAAAATTCATGAGAGAAATATTATCTACACTGGAAGGCCTAAAATCCAAAGGGTTATTCCATTTCCTCACACGATCCCCTAACCATCTCATATTTACATTTTCTACCTCCAAACCATCAATCTGTTCCATTATGATCCCAGCTGAGCTATGATTCACCAACCCTTGACATCCAGGTCTGTAATCAACCAATCCATCTTCATAACTAGTCCATCTTTTATAATTAAGGTTCACATTCAAGAACTTCAAATTGCTAAGAACACCATTTTCAGACCCTGATAAAAAAATCCCGTTTTCTGAATTAGCTGTTATATTAACAAAAAGCAGATTCGAGATTGAACTCGTCTTTGAAGTGTTATCTCTTGGGCATGTTGTCACGTAGATAGGCTCTGCTCGACCCCACCATGATGGATCATAGTATCTTGTACTTATATTTATGTTCGAAAAAACTATGTCACTCACATTTCCTGCCAAATAACACAAAATTGGTTAATTGGTTGAATCTTTTGATTGAGTTATGAGTTATGAATTATGATATTTGTGTACCTCCATCGCGTATTTGTAATCCAAGACCTCTATGAGATTCGACTATGGTGATGTTATTGAAGAGAAGGCCTTTGAATGGGAACCAACTAGCGCTACCAAGTTTGATTGCAGAGGATTTGGTTCGAATCCAAGAATCTGTGGCTGTGAGATTGTAGAGAGGACCATCGTATGTTTTTGGGCAGATGGCATCATCTCCGGTGTTGATGTTGCACCTTGTGATCACAGTGTTGTTTGAATCGTCTATGTCGATTCCATCGTTGTTTGGGGTATTGAAATCTCCGTAGATTGAAACATCATGAATGTATGTGTTATCACATTGCACTAAATGCAAACTGCAATCAAAATTCAAATCCATACCAATTGTACAAGTTAATTTCACAATTTTGACTACTCAAATCTACTATGAGTTTGTGTGTTAATGGAGGTCGAGAGAGAGAAAGAGAAAGGGGACGAACCACCAATAAGCAGGCTCGGACAAATGAACATCCCAAACCCTAACATGTTTGGATCTGATGAAGCCAACCAATCTCGGCCTACATTCATCACCGGAACATGCTCCGGTTTGATTCCAGCTCACCATCACATTCTTCCTCTCATCAAACCTGACAACGAACTCCAACCCTTGGCCATTGATCTCACCGCCGCCGGTGATTCCGACATCCTCCGCATCCTCCGCCAATACCACATACCATCTGTTTTGCTCGACCGGATAATCCTCCAACCTAGTCCCTCCCAACACCGTCGCGTTTTTCTGTACCTCCAACACCACTCCGGACTTCAGGAACACAGTCGCCGTCAAGTAATTCCCCGGCGGGAAGACAACTCGACCACCTCCAGCTGACCAACAGGCGTCGATTGCGGACTGAATAGGTTCGGTGTCGTAGTGGACCCCATCGCCGGTGGCGCCATATTCGGTGACGGAGACAGTAACAGGCGGAGATCTAGATTGAGAGTGAGGAAGACGGATTGATGATGAAGTGTACGATACCGATTGGATGATTGCACTACAGAGAATTAAGATTAAAGTTGCTGATTGAATAGAGAAAGAATTCAGAGAAATTGTCATTGTTCTGTTTTGCATTCCGGCGATGGCCGGCGGGTGGGATAGGTGAAAGGTATACTAGTCTCATCCAATCAACATCGTAGTATTTTAAGTTTATCATGTTGAATTTTAAAAACATAGAATATACGGATAAGGGTGTGTTTAGAAAAAAAATATATGTTAATGTCTTGTAATGTATTTTGTTTTGTGTAGTTATTTAGTCGGTTATAACTTTTTTATATATTATATTCTCATTGTACTTTTTACACATTTATCTTTAAAAATAAATTATTTTGCTTAAAAGAATAATAATATGATCAGTTATGATTATAAAAAAAGGGTTTAAAAGGGTTATATGATCATATTGCTTAAAAAAATAGTGATATGATGCATGCACCGTCTTCCTCAACAAACCTTTATTATAAATGTCATATTAGCTCATCGAACTTGTTGATTTTGTTTTAAAAGGTCATCAAACTTTTTTTTGTACATTAAGTGAATGAATTCTCGTTTTTCTGTTTTAAAATATCATTATGTGACATGATACCTGCTAAGCCTGTAAAATGTGTGTCGATGCTTACAGGAAAACGAGCGAAAGCAAACCCACGATTGAATGCATAGGTTTTCTCAAACTTTTACTCATTTCGGTTTGAAACAAGCTCCTTGCTTGACTAGCTCTCATGGTGTCATGTTTAGCTTGTTGTAAAGCTCAGTTTTGTTCTGCTAATTTGTGTCTCATGAGTTGAGATTCTTCAAGCACCGCCGCATGGGAAAGAGTGTAACGCCCGCAAATCCGGTCTAGTCAATTTAGAGACGATGAGCATCAAAAATGAGTTTTTGATGGAAGATAATTTAGAAGGATTAGTCTTAACCAAGTTGTAGTATATGTTACAAGGGTTCCGTACAGATAAAGAACGTCAAATCCGAGTTATAACGAAGAAGTTATGGCCCGTCGAAGTTTTACGGCAAAACCGGCACGGCACCAGGAGACGTAAATAGTGAATTTACGGTAGAAGACTTTTTAGCCTTAGTGATCTAAACAAAATTTGTAGTATACGTTAAACCGAGAACATACAAAAAAAAAAAGAACGCCCACATCTGACTTCGTATGAGGAAGTTATGAATTTTCTAAGATTTGGCATAACAGTGCACGGCCCGAAACTCGAATTTTAGTTCAGGCGGTTTTTGGCCTACGCGACCTAAATAAGAGTTGAAGATCTCATTAATATGAACTCAACGGTAAAAAGACAGACGAAAACGGAGTCCATATGTAGAAGTTATGAATTTTACGCGGACATTTAACAGTATAATCTCCTCCTACAGTTAAATTTAAGAGCGGTCGAGAATTAGCCGACGGAGTCTAAATGCAAGTTGTAGATATTGTTTTTACCTACGCGTGGATATAAAGAATGTCGAGATTAGAGCTCGTATGTTAAAGATATGGACGAAACTTGGTCCCTACTCTTCGAGCGCGATAAATTCGATACAGTTTTGTAAATCTGAGATAGAATGAGAATTAGCTGACGGCGTCTAAATGAAAGTTGTAGTACTCGTAAATACCAACGCGTGGATATAAATAACGTCAAAAATAGAGTTCGTATGAACGAGTTACAAATTATAATAGCATATTTACGTATTAAAATAAAGTATAAATCATATATACGCACACATATATATACAAATGTATATATCATTAGAAAGGTATCGACGATGTGGTTATTATAAGACTAGTGTTGAGTACTTTCGACATTAGTTTAGTAATATCGTTAAATCTATTTAAAATAGTATTATGAAGGGGTGTTTAGTCGTTTATATAACTATAAGGTCATTAAGTAATTATGGAGGATAATTTTTGTAAATTCAATTACTATAAATAAGAGGCTTGGGCTCTCATATTTCTTGCATAATTCTCTTGATTCAAGAGTCTTTCTCTTCTTATCCCCCGAGCATTTCGGTCTCTCGTGATTCGACTTCTCTTTCTGTAGTTTTAGTATAGTAAGGTGAGCGCTGAAGCGCTGCACAAATCTTTCTTAGAAAGATTCAGCGACGAAGTTCTGCCCCTGCAGAGCCCGACTCGTAGCTAAAACCCCCTTGTAAGTAAGTTATTTTTACCCTATTTTAAATATAGTTTATATTTAAAATTAATATTGTTATTATGAACTTATAATAAATATTTGAGCTATTATTATGACTTATATAAGTGTCGTTATAATATCTTTTTAACTACTCGCGGTACGGGGAATCTGGTTTAAAGGGCCGCATTGGGTTGTTGGATTTCAGAAGTGCTATATGCCAAAATGGTTCTGCCCTCCGGTGTTTTATGTCTGGCCCTGTCTGTACATGGTGGTTGGAAAGTATTGTTTAAACGCTTATATAATAATAATAATAATAATAATAATAATAATAATAATAATAATAATAATAATAATAATAAGATTAATAATTAGTCACGGTAATATTAGACTAACATCTAGTGGTAATAATACTAGGTTTCGTCGAAGGAAATTATTTTAAAGTAAACGAAGCGCTGTCTGAGTACCGAGTCACCACCTTATCAAGTGAGTGCATAGTTACTTTCATCTTACACATAGATATGAAGTATTTTATATAAATTACGTGCTATGTGTGTATACTGTCTGAATAGTTGCTGTCTATGTTGGATGAAACGTTTTATACATGTTTAAATGATCTAAACTGTATATGTATTTTATATCTACAAAATGTGTTGGGTAAAACATGGGTAGATTAGAGGTGAAATAAATGATGAGCGATGAAAAATGAGATAAATTATGAGCGATGGAAAATGAGATGAATGATGAGCGATGATATATGAGTGATAAAATATGGTGCGAAGCGATGACCTAAGCGATGAGGCAAAGCGATGAGCCAAAACGATGAGCCAAAGCGATGAGCCAAAACGATGAGCCAAACGATGACCCAAGCGATGGCTCTGTCATCTAGCAGAGTATGGATGACAACCACAGACTATTCTAGACAATCTAGTGGAACACTAGCAGACTCGCAACATGTAGGTGTTGTGAACGATGTGTTCACCCGGTGTACTCTAAAAACCCATTGACAGGTATTACGAGTGGACTCTCGAAAACGATACTATCAATAAACGAGATAAACCCTGGCGACTATGCAGACTTAGTGTCGATTCCTTAGGATACTCCTTAGGAATAAATGAACGAGGAATAGCTGAATCTTAGGGTAGATCCTTAAGAGTAAAGAAGATAATGGGGATGGGTAATTGGGTTGATTGTTTGATGTATAACATAATAATTATATTATTGTGGGTTGAAAACCCTATGTACTCACCAGGTGTCCCAACCTGACCCACTTAAGCTTATTTGTATCACATGTGTCGATATGAAGCTACTTTACACTGAGGGATTTAAAAGAGATGTAGATCACTAGTGTAAATGAATGTAAGTTCTGTTTATGCTTATGTTTCTGTATTGACGATGACATCCCAAATGTTTTAAAATGGATAAAAATACATTTCTTCAGAAATGCTTTGATAACGTATTCATCATGTTTTTCTGGGAACAAATTCCGCAACATTTTTATTAAAAGAGGTACTCTGATTTTTATAAAGCATAAACAAAATCGGTCTTTTCTGGCCGTGAAAATGGGGATGTCACAAAGAGCCACTGCCACCTGGTCAGCCACTACCTTGATTATCTTGAGCTCCGGACCAATCCAATATCGAATTTGACCTCTGGGAAGAACCAAAACAAGAATCATGTAACATGCTTGAATCATTTCAGGGGTCTCACCTTTGAAAGCGGAAACCCTAAGCATCGGCATACGGATTGCCGCCACCGCTCCAAGTGGTTTTGACCCTCCACTACTTAGGGTTCCAAGCTCTTATTCATGGTCCAAAAGCTTCACCACTGCGCTCTGTTTAATTTCTTGATGTATAAAAAATTTGTACATTAAGGGTTCATCCACCTGTTATGTGTTTCGAGTTCGATTCTTTTGTGGATTTTTGTTATTTGGTGGGTTCTTGTTATACGCTCTTCATCTATTCATCAATTTCTGGTTTAAAGCACCGGTCGATTTTATGGTGTTGGTGGTCATTATTTTCGCTGGAATTTATGAAGTTAATCATTTTCTGGGTATCATATTTGGTCAATAACAGGGAGAAATGGCTCCTGAAATTGTTGTAAACATAATTAGAGTATTGAATTTCATGTTTTTCTTGGGTTTTGTTTGGCATCGTATGCAAGCTTCATGATTTCAAAAGGGGCATTTTTCTTATTTTCTTTGGGTTCTTTTTTCTTGGTTTTGATTTTTGGATTCCCCACCAAAGATAGTTCATGGTTTCACTTGTATGTATAACTCAAATCAGATGGAGGTGACAACTTGCATTCTTGCAGTCAAGATTCAAGATTTCCGAATATGAAATAATTGGTGACTTCACACCCAGATTCACGAGACAAACCGTTAATCCTAAACCCAGATTCACGAGACAAACCTTTAACGAGAGTTCATTTCATTTTCTTTTATTTTGTAACCTACAATGGAGGACACACATAACTGCAGATAGGAGGTTGGAGGATATGAGGCTACAATGAGATTACCTGTTATAGTGGGTTAACTGACTTTTTTAATAGGTTAAACGAGAGTTCATTCCCTTAATGTGTAAAAAAAAGTTTGTGACATTTTAATACAAACACGACAATTTCGATGGGCTAATATGACATTTTCCCTCTCTTGAACTCCACCCCTGAGCATGCACTAAGGGGGTGCACCAACTTACACAGGCCGACAACATAGTGAGATGAAAGAGGAGAGAGATAATGTCACACCCCCAAACCGGAACGGCGGAAACGTTCGGAGGTGGAGGACGTCATGTACAGTATCACAACAATTGTAAAATAGTAATCAAAGCAACACAACCATTTCATTGATAAAATATAGTATTTACATCTGTTCATAACATAGTTTGTATGACATCAAAAAGTATAACAAAAGTATAAAAGACGTGACTCTAGAAGCTCCGTCTTCTCAAAATCCTGCGGGTGTACCTGTCTTAACGGTTCCCTGAGAATACAATTGATTTCGAAAGTGTATCAACATTTAAGTTGGTGAGTTCATAAGTATGTTTTAGTGCTGGAAAACTTGTCTTTGAACTTTGAAAACGCTAATGT